TTGGCCCTGAGCTAACATCTGTGCCCACCTTCCTCTATTTTATGTGGGATGCCAGCCACAGCATGGCTTAATGAGCGGTGCGAAGGTCTGCACACGGGATCCGAACCTACCACCCCTGGGCCGCCAAAGCGGAGCACACGAACTTAACTGCTACGCCACCAGGCTGGTGCCTATATATATTTTTTTAAATTAAGACATTGTTTAAAGTTTCCTAGTATAAATAATAATAAATTAGTAATGATAACACAATTTATTGAATGCCCACTACCATGCTAGGTACTTTATATATATAAATTCTAATCTTCACAATAACCTTGCAAAGTATTTTTCTCCTCATTTAAAAAAATAGCAAAACTCTATTATTAACATAATTTAAAAATAATATATTAGGTTTTGTCCAAATTAATCTAAGACAAATATATTTTCTAAAAACTTAGTGAATTATAAGTTTTCATTAGTGTATAATACTAGAAGTTGTAATAAAATTTGCTAATATTGAATACTTTACTGTAGCCAAGCACTGTTCTACAATGTTGAACATATAATAATTAACATTCATAACAACCCTATGAGGTAAATATTTTTATTACCCCTTTATTTAGATAAGGCAACTAAGGTGGCACAAAGAGGTTAATTAACTTGCCCAAGGTCATCTAACTAGGAGGTAGCAGATTTTGAATCCAGGAAGTTTGGCTCCAGCATCCGTACTCTTAACCACTTCGTTATACCGACTTTCTAACAGAAATGATACATTCATGTCAAACACTGAATACATTCTCTGGATTTGGGAACTCTTTCTTTCTATGTTATGGCACGTTTATTTTTTTTTTCTTAAAGAAAAAAGAAAATCTGAGCAAAGTTCCACCAAACATCACGAAAACTGATCTCACATAATCATAATTCTTTCTCAGCTTTTAACCACAGATATCAAACTATGTTTAGAAAATTGTGAAATGTGCTTAAGGAAACAATTTTTGTGAAATGAATCAAATATTGGTGGTCTATTATACAAGTTTTATTTTACTATATGATGTTTCTATAAATATATGTTGAAAGAAAACTTTCCAAACTTATTCATATAGTTCAGTGCACAATCAGTCTCATCATGTTGCTGAAGGCAGAGTATAGAATCATGAGGTCTCTGTAGAACCAAAGGGGGGAAAAAGGGCACAGAACAGTTATCTTTTCAAGACAAATCTTTCAAAAAACAACCAAAAGAATTTTTTTAAAGGACATATTTTTTATGCAAGTATTTCTTCAATTTCATTAGCCTTAATCAGACTGCCTGCTTTCAATATCAGAATCCTAATTAGTGTAACTGGCCTGATTCTCCTAGCTGAATATCTTTCTAGATACATGAATCCCTAGTAAATAAAAATTATGGGTAAGAGTCTATAATTTCAATGGAAGCTGAGTGTGTAAGAAGATCTGAAAGAGCCAAAAGAATGTATTCATTTGTTAAAAACATTATTCACATATTATATTACGGTAAGAAGTGAATGTTAAATAAAAATGCATTTCAAGTTTCATTAAAATATAGCTATGTAGAAGTATTAATACGCAAGTTGTGTCATACACAGCATGCTCTGGATCAGTGATTCCCAAAAGCAAAGATGTTTTTGCTGGCCTATAGCAATAAGAAAAAAAATAAAATGATGAGTGAGTTTCTCATAAAGGTAAATGTATTAATTTGAAAAGTCTGAAATTATGTTCTTCCTTTTCTTTTAGTGAAAAAATGTCATTTAAAAAAAATTTAAAAATTGGTGACTTGGTCAGTCTCCAAATCTTATTTCTTTTAATTTTACTGATGTATGAATTTTAAAAAGACTGGGAATCAATGCTCTTAAATTAGTTATGCTGTGATCAATAGATTATTTCCACCTGATTCTTCTGTACCACAGTTTTAAATGTTATAATATCTATACATTTGCTATAAATTGCATTGCACAGACTCTGTTCAAGTCTTATCTTACCCGTGATGCAATATCTGACTGCTTAAATCCTCAGTAAACTCACTTTTTTTGTGTGTGTGTGAGGAAGATTAACCTGAGCTAACATCTGATGCCAATCCTTCTCTTTTTGCTGAGGAAGATTGGCCCTGGGCTGACACCTGTGCCCATCTTCCTCTACTTTATATGGGATGCCGCCACAGCATGGCTTGATAAGTGGTGCGTTGGTGCGCACCCGGGATCCGAACCTGCGAACCCCGGGCCGAGTAAGCAGAGCTCGAGCACTTAACCGCTATGCCACCAGGCCGCCCCCTCAGTAAATTCACTTTTGATTAAACCTCTTTAGCTAGTTATACAACTAGCAATTTACTATATTTTGCTTTAGAGCTTCAAGTATATTAGTCTTAAAGCCTCCTTACAAGAATCCTGAGGGTGGGAGCCATTTCTTCTTCTTACATATGGATGGCAGTGAGTACATAATTGGTACACGATGAAAAGTTGGTGATTGACAAAGAGATGTACCATAATATGATTCCCAGCTATTTTGTCCCACAACCAGGAATAGAAATATCCATGTTTTCCAGTTTTTTGCTAGGTGACCTGATGCACTGAATTCAACGCACAGAAAATCCATAGAAGGTGGATACCCTCGGCCACCTTCTTCAGCACATCCCAGGTTGTTGCGATATTCTGGTTTTTAAACATGCATCACTCACATGTAACAATACATATTAGATTTTCAGAACTAGGAAGCATTCATTTTAAACAAAGCCATTAGTTTAGAAGGCAAAGAAGCAAAATCACAAATAATCGCATGTTACAACAAACAAGGGTGCAGAAAGGACTACTGTTTACTGATTGGTATTTTCAATACCATCTACAAATGTGGATAACATCACTGTCAACAGTGTCATTTTTAAAAAGTAAAGAACTGTGTAGAAATAGATATTATTGAAATAATACCGTAAGAAAAACGTGAATTAGTATTTCCTATGTGACTTCTACGTTTATTTTTTTCTTGGCACTTTCCAAGTCAAGTGAAATGTTACAAGTCTTCCCCAGTTTCCCCCTCACATGCTTAGTTAGGTGGTTTTCCTTTATGCTCCTGTTGTATTGCTACTGTTAACATTTACCCTTCTTGAGTATATGTGTCTATCTCCCTTCCCTCGGCTGTGAGCTACTGGAGGGCAAGATCAGCCTCTTGTCTATCCCAAGTACATGTCTGGAATGCATCTCAATCGCCTGGTAAATGACTTCTAAATAAATGAAGGAGTGAGTGAGTGAGGGAAAGAATGATGGGAAGAAAGGCAAGCAGAACGAGATTAAATGCCTTCTTGGCCAAAATAAATTTTTCGCTATGGGACATTAAAAAACTGCTACAAATATGGTTAACAGGTAGCTTAAATCAGTAAGTTATAATCTACAAAGATTCTGCTGCTGTTAAGTTTAGTAAACTTTATAGAAAAAAAAAAAGAATCAGAGAAGCTTGAGCCAAATTTGATGTACTCACAGGCACCGAAAGAAAGTAGGACCTGTTATAGAGTTGAAGGAGGGCCTGAGTAAACTAATTGGAAATAAAATACAGTAAATACAATTGTTTTAAATTTCCGCAAAGTGAAAACAAAATAAGAATCCAATGTTTCAGACAGCATTTCTTGACGAACAAAATTTCCCTCAATTTTTTTGCCCAATAATCCTAATAAAATAAAAGAGATAAAAAACATAAGAAACCTAATTTATTACCCCAGATATTAAAATGCCTTCTACTCATATCCCTCTAAGGTACTCTTAATATTATTCATACTATTGCCACAACCTTAATTATAACATCCTTTTCCATATAAAAATGTAGACAAAGGGCTTATTTAAGATTAAATCAACTGGAATTTACAAGTGAACTATAGTCATTTTTCTCACATATATAAGTACACAGAGCCAGTGAGACATTTAAAACACTGAATCAAGTCCTGGTTCTCAACTCAAAATACTGAAAAATAAAACAGGCCAAATAGTAAACATCTAACAAGTTTAGAGTTATTTTTTATAAATAAGAACATCTAAATGGTATATGCAATAAGTAAGCATAGTTATTTATTTGATTTCTAGAATCAGAGAGTTTTAGCTGGAAGGAACTAGACTGTCTACCTGAGGAGGCAGTTGAGGCCCAAAATACATCTATGAGCAAACATGTACATATTTAAAAATCTTAAAATCAAATAAATGTATGAAGGAGTATACTGTGATCCCAATTAAACACATTAAAATTTTTTGTGGGAATTTAAGTTTAAGGTAATATATTAAAAAAGCTACAGGAACATGCTAGTGTTGATAATGAAATAAAATTACCTGTTGAACAAAAACATTGTTGAGGTGATTGGCCAGTCTCCGGGCAAACTGCTCTCGCAATTCACTGAAATGCTGCTGCTGCTCTTTGACTGCCAGAAGCATGTCATGGCCTGAAATCAGAACATTTCTTGACTGATTTAATGGGTAAAAAGATTTCCCTGATTTTAATGAATACATTTATAACAGTATCCATATTTCAGTTTTGAAGAACCCCAAGTTTTACTGGCTTGTTTGCTTTATAAAAGAAAGGTAAGCAAGAGAAAAGAACAGTACAGCACAGTGGTTCTCAGCGTGTGGTCCTGCCTCAGCATCCTCTGGGAACTATTAGAAATGTGGATTCTAGGACCTCAGCCCAGACCTACTGAATCTAGGGGTGGGCAACACGTGTTTTAACAAGTTTTAACAAGGTGATTCTGATGCAAACTCATTTTGGAACTACTGGCCTAGCAAAACCTTATGCCCTCTGGTCTAACCAAAGCATCTACTTTCGTGTTAGATTCTGTGGATAGTTCTAAAGAAAAACCATGGTATTAATAGAGCCATTGATGGCCAATCAGAAGGAACTGAAATGAAAAAGTTCTTAGCGCGACTACAAACACGTTTGGAAATAAGTGAAATTTGTTTGAGTAGCTAATGATATAACTCTAAACCACTTGTCCCATGTATTTCTTGTTAAAAGCTTTATCCCAAGTTACAGGCTTAGTGTCCGCTTCTTGGTCAGATGTTATCATTTCCAGTGAACATACCTGGTCGAAGAGCTACATTCATGCACTGCAGAAGGGCGTCTGCGGCATTGGTGCAGGCTTCAATGCCTCTGGAAGAAGCAAGATCTCCTTCCTGAAGAGCCTTTATATGACCTTTGGCCAAGTCCATGTGGTTCTGGAATATATGTAAATAAACCATTTGCACATGTAGCTGTGGGAAATTTATAGGTAAGATCCTAGTCAATCCTATCACTAGGTCTTTGGAATTATTTTAAATCTTATGCTCACAAGGAAATTAGAAAATGTTTATAAATGGGTTTTATATATTATTATTATATTTTTTTGTTTTTTGTCGTTGGTAATTCATAATCATACTTACCACAAGGAACTCTATCTCGGACAGGAGTTTTACATTATTGGTGTTACTAAGATGAATTAGGTGGTTGCTTTCAGAGATCTGATCCATTTGTTCTTTTACACTTTGGAGCATTTCCTCATAACTGCTCAGTTTCAATTCAATCTGATCCACCTCCTTTAGAGCCTCATCCAGCAACTTCATCAGGATGTTCACTTGCTTTTCAGAGGCCATGATTGACTGGATGTTGGCCTACAAAGTTAAAAACAAAAGTAACACTTCATATTATTTAAATGTGTAAAAGAAGTATAAAGATGAAATACTGCTAAATCTCTTTGACAGCAGAGTAACAAAGACTGATATACATCGACACATCTACTTTAGCTACTTTAGTTTATCACTTTACGTTTATGTTCCACTTTTTACACAGTATTTCAAGACGGTACACTTGCCTCTGTATCAAGGTTAGGGACCATCCTCAGTATTTTATATTTCCACAGACTGCACAAATAGGGTTCTGCCCCATAATGCATCATCAGTAATGGTAATTCTCATTTCTGTAAATTGAGGGACATCAGACTATGTCATCTCTAACATTTCTTCCAATTCTACCAGCTATGGGAATTTTTTATACTTCTTAACATTTTTGTAAAATGCTACACAGAAGCATAATCACCTATTTAATACCTTGGTCAAGAGGGCAGCAGTGGTATACCCATCTTCGAAGGATATATGGAACCCATTTACAACCACAGTGCAATTTTATTGATTGGACGTGGAAGAGCATATGACCATAAGGTAGCTCCTTCTATTGTCTTCTTTCCTTCCTTTCTTTTGCAACTACGTTGTTTTCCAGGCAAAGCAGTAATAAACCACTATCCCCGTGTCACTGTTTTCTAAGTAATTCTGACCAGTGATTCTGAATTCCCTGAAATATGGAAGCTGCCAAATCCAAAATTAAACTGCAAAAACATATGATGACTTGAACATATATGCAATATTAATTAGAAAACATAAACCACTAAGCCACATTAAGAAGGCAGGTAGCATGGTATGAGGAAAAAACTTGGACAAAGAATGAAAAGAATATCATTGTACAGTTGACACTGTCATTTCACACGTATTATTTTATATACTATTCATAATAACACAACTGTATGTGCAGCCCAACTGTAAGAGTCAGCAGGGCTCAGATCCACTGAATACATCTCTTAAGTAGCAGACCTGGGGCTTGAACTTGTCCAGGACAATTTTCACTTTAACATCTTGAAGTCTCTTCTAAGCTTTGCTTCCAGTAAGTTTTCTAAACTTGTAAGCTCGGACTATTCATGTAATCCCTGGGCCTGAGTTCAATCTCATAACTTCTATAATTGTCATGTACAAAACACCAAAATTCTTTTTTTTTTAAAGTTATTTATTTATTTATTTTTTTCCCCCAAAGCCCCAGTAGATAGTTGTATGTCATAGCTGCACATCCTTCTAGTTGCTGTATGTGGGACGTGGCCTCAGCGTGGCCGGAGAAGCGGTGCGTCAGTGTGCAGCCGGGTTCCGAACCCGGGCTGCCAGTAGCGGAGCAAGCGCACTTAACCGCTAAGCCACGGGGCCGGCCCCCAAAACTCTTTAAGTCTTTAAAATATTCCTTATTCTCTGAGAGTTTTTCTTAAATGTTTATGTTGTCTAAACAAAACAAAAAACCCCAAATATCCTTGTGTTAGAGTTTTCTCATATAAGTGGGGTTACTTTTAGTTATTTCTTTTAATTCTTTACTTTTTAAAGATGTGCATTTAGATTACAGACTCAGAAACTGTGCATACAAATTAAAAAGATCTATTTCAAAACATTTTAGCAGAGGAGTAAAACATCTTTTCCCCTGGCTCTCCTGTTTTTACCACACTTAGTCTACTCCCTTTGGGCAAATGACTCACTTATTTCAACCCAATTTCTTTATTTCGAATTCATACCTATTTTTTTTCAAACCACAAAAATGCTATTCTTTTGCATTGAATTATTCTGAGGTGTTTCAGAGGCTGGGGGGAAACAACCCCCAAGTCGGTTTCTGGTTGGCTATTTTTATTTCCATCACTTCATATCAAGAACCTCCCAAAATCCAGAACCTCTGCCTTCATTGGTCTGACTAATGGGAATGGTTCTGTCTTTTGAACAAGAACAGTGAAAGACTGAGTTGGTATCTGGCAACGTGCTTATACAGACATACAGCAATAATCACACTATAAAGGCTGAAGTGCTGAATCAGTAAAATTTGAACATTACAGTCTTCTCAATCTACTACATATCACTCATTCATAGATTACAAGAGAGTCTTACCCCATCTAGCACCTGCAGCTCTCTGGACAACCTTTCTGCAAAGGCCTCAGCGTTAGAGATAGCATATTCACAGCCTTCCATCATTATTTCAATATCTTGCTCTTCTCGTGCATTTAACTCTTGGTATTCATCTACCACTTCTTCATCACCTCCTGTCACACTCTGATTTTCTCCACTTGGAACAGATTCTTAAAGAGGGTAAAAATTAAAAATAAAGTAGTAAAAAAGTAGGAAGGACAATAACATGGTACTTACAGGCAAGGTCAGTTATAAGCACAGGTCACATTTAGTGGCTGAAAAATAGGAAAGAATGATTCAAAATGTATGAAAAAAAACCTCTATTTTTATAAAGAATTGCATATGTTAATATAATGTTTATTATAACACATAAAAAGCATGCAACCTAATTCACTGACTTGTAAGTGTTAAAACAGGCTTTACACAATTTCCCAAAACATAACTAAACTAAAAAACAAATACAAAAACAGAAACAAGACACGTAGAAACAAGCCTAACCTTTTTTTCCTACCTGAGGTGGTTGTTGCTCTAACAAAACAATGATTATGAATTCAGGACACAGAAAAACAATTTGCTTTCCTTTTCTTCCCCAGGTAACATTTTTCTTCTGTTACTTCTGTTCTTTTTGTCTTTGCTATTTTTTTTTCCAAATAACTTTTAATTGAAATGAAAAATGCATCTATAATTCACAATCTATTTTGGGCACTGAAAATATTAACTGAATTTTCTGTTTGTTTAAAACAATTTCACATGCATTGATAAAAATTTCTAAAGATCAGCCATAAAAGCTTTCTCAGTAACCCTACAGTAAGAAGAGCAACAACAAAATGGCTGTTTGAAATTCCAAATATTTCAATGGTCTTCATGCTTCATAACAAAAGACCAAGAGGTCAAATATGAGGTGCTTTCTGGATAAATGTTTCAGTTCAACTTTTCGAGAGAATACACTTAGCATGTGGGATTTTATATAAAGCTTGAGGTTAGGAGGGTAAAAAAAATTTTTACTCCTTAAATAAACCTCTAAATAAAGTTACTGATTTTCATAAACTTAATGGGACACGATTTAAATCACCAACTCTGGATGCTTTAAATATTCATTATTGTGTATGAAAATGAATATTTACCTTCAGCATGACCTGACATATGTTAATTTGTCCTAGGAAAAAAACAGCTACTTCAAAGTAACAAATGATTTACTCTTAAGCATGATTAGGCAGATTTAGAAAAAGTCCCAGAAAAAAAATGAGGGGACTAAAACTTTTGGTACAGGTAATTACAGATTACAACATACACATGTAAGTTCTTTAGAGAAGAATCACCTAGCTCCTTATCCTTTGAATGAGTCCATTTTAGTTCATTGTGGAAATGTTCAACTGTCATGTGTGACAGCTTATTAGCCACTAGGGGGCAGGGACTGCCCAAATCATTCTGTATAGCTCCTTACACAAGCAGATATTTAAAATAAACAAATATTCTAAATGATCATAACTGCTTCAGAAGTATTTTCTCTCCCATGAAACAGTCCTTTGGAAGTCAATAATGAAGACTATTATTAACTTTATTACTATACGGATTGTGTAGTAATAAACTTATCCCTATACACAATTTCATAAAATATGCAACCAACAGTACATAACAATGGCAAGTAATAAAAATATATGGAATAGAATAAAAGGTGTTACGCACCTTCTGTAACTTTAGGCAGTTCTGGAGAGTAAAAAGGTATGAAAAAAGCAGAGGAAAGTAAGCAAAGAATATTAGCTGGGTAGAAAAGTAAACAGGTTTAAAATTTTTAAATACTACCCATATTTCATTTGAACTTCATGCTACATTAAGGTTTAAAAGACAATGTCAAAATCAACTACAAAGTGGAAAGATCCATGGAGGCTCAGTTTCCAGAGTTCATTTTTCTTATTCTTTTTCTGACAGTGACTAAAAATAAATCCATCTTTTTGTTTTCTCTTCGTCTTTTAAGAAACAGCACTGACTAGTCCTTGGAGGAGAAAACTGGGAAACAGATCACTTCCTGGGGATTATTTTTAGGTCAGTTGTGACTCATGCATTTAGTCTAGTTATTTTCACTCAAGGCCCAAAAGCTTTACCCAGACACTCCCTCACGATGGATTAGTCATAAAACACTGTTAGAAAGGACGAGATTGAAACAATTTTAAAAAACACACGAGACTTTTAAGCTGACTTTTAAGGATTCAAGTCAAAGATTGTTTTTAATCTGGTTACAAGAATGAAAAAGAAAAGGCCAAAAACTTCACTCTACTTCAACTGCTAACAAAGTCCTCTGTTAAGAACCTTAAAAATCTTCTGCTGAGAAGCCCCAATTATTAGCACGAGCATTCAACTGTCACCAATAAAAACTACTAAAGTTGCCATGGCTAGCACTCACAATGAACAGTCTTACTTACTTGGATGATTATTTATCTCTTAAAAGTAGATGATGACAATTTCTTATTTGTTTTCTAACATCACCCAAATTTAGAGACATTTTTTTTTTTAATGGGAATTAATGGCTATGATTTCAAAGTCCATTAAAACATTAAAATAAGTTTGTAGACATTAATAAAGCTATTCTCTGAATTCCACTAAACCAAAGTAACAGTTATTGATTTATAGAAAGCGATTTATAAAATGAGATTCTTAAGGATCTTCTCAGTATTCTTAAAATCAATCTCAATTAGGGTTAATGTTTATAAACATGAAAATGTCTACACTTTTGTTTTAGGTCCTGAAAAACTAAATGACTTTTTTTTTTAAAAGCTAGACACTTCACTCTAAAAAACAGCAATATGCCTCTCACTGATTTTGGTAATATTTCTCAATGAGGTAGATCCAGGTAGGGTACGTATTTTCCCATATTGTTGACTTCATGAAATATATTCATTTAAAATACATCTGAGGCAACAAATAAAATCTGGATGTATATAATACTTGAAAACAGAACAGCATTCACTCATCAGAATGTTCATCTCTGAAATGGTAAAAAAATAAAAGCCACTCAAAACAAATTAAACTACTATTCAAGGCATGAAAAATTACCATCAGTTTATTAAAGGTCATTCAATGCCTCAACATGCTCAATCGCCAAGATGCTGGGGTCTAATGGTGGTGAGATGGCAACCCTGAGGGCTCCTACGCAAGGCCAGGCTCACTGCTGAGAGGAGCACGGGGCCTGACAGATGCTACTTGCCTCTGCCAGTTCCCAGCAGCAAAGCTGAAACCAGTCACAGGCTCACTAATTAACAAGTGCTGAGAAATAATACTACATTTAAGGAAAGAGCCACAGCCAAACAGAAAATGAATAAGTAAAATAAAATAGAGAAAAGACAGAGGCAGGTGACTAAGTAAATGAATAATTTGAAGCATCCGAAACTGCTGACGTTTTTATAAGTCAAAATGGTTGAATGTTGCCAATTTCAGATGTTTCAACCTGATGGAATAGAAGTTTCTATTTTTAAATGCTAATATACAACTTAGGAGAAATCTAAGTTTTCTTTCTAATATGTAATTCAAGACAAATCTACGTTTTTTTCTTAACAAAGAGGAGCAACAACTCTGCTCACCCGCATACTAGCTGTTTTTTCAACTGCTTTCTTTGAAATAAAGAATACAACACAAATTGTATCCGCAAGGCATACGGAACCATTTTCTTAAAATGTTTGTCTTTATGAAAGAAATTTTAAAAGAATAAAACCTTATCGTATGTTTTTAATAAATAACAGTAGACTTTTTGTCTTATAACCCAAAATAATCCATGGTAACATTCCTGAAGACACACTGATCAAAAACATCCTATTTAATTTCATGTCTAAGGACTTTATCCTGATAATATAATAGCTAATATTTATTGAATATTTACTATATATCTGGCATTGTTCTCATCATGTTCATATATTAAGTAATTTAATCCTCACAACAGTCCTACAGGGTGGATACTATTATCTCTATTTCTGAGATAAGGAAAACTGAAACATAGAAATAACCCAAGGTCACATAGCTAGTAAGTGACAAAGCCAGGATCTAAACCCAGGCAGTCTGACTCCTGAGTTGTGTTCTTAACCACTATACCTACACTCGGCACAAAAATATAGCTACAAGGATAGTCATCTCAGAGTTGTTTAAAATAAGCAAAGACTGGAAAATTAACAATAAATGATTAGTTAAATAAATTATAGTATATCCACACAATGGAATACAATGGTGCCATTAAAAATAATGTTGGGCTAAGTACTTAATAATATGGAAAATATTCATGATACATTATATGAAAAAGTACATTAGGAAACAGAATGTAAATTTATTTATTTAAAAAAAGTATTTAAATATGCATAGAAAAAAGACTAGAAGAATGGCTAATAAAATGTTAACAGTAGTTATTTCTGAGGATTAAGTTTATACGTGATTTTTATTTAATTTAACGTATCAATTTTCTACAACGAACAAGCATCACTTCTGCAATAAGAAAAATTATTTTTAAATTCCTTTACAATATAAGGTAATTTGGTATTCTAACTACTTTGAATAATGTCAAATTATATATTCACTTATAGATACACTTGATTTTACATATACATTTTTATTTAACTTTACCTTCCAAAAGCTGTGAGCTAACATTGACAAAGTCAATTTTCTTCCGGAGATATCGCTGATTCAATTTCCAAATGCATGAAATAAATGCATTCTTTTCAGCAGTGCTGCTGGCAACCCATTTATATATTTTTTCAAAATGTAAATCAAATTCAGGATTTTCCTGAAATAAAAATATACAAAAGATATTATTTTTGATCATATACCTTTTCACCATTAAAAATCTGCTAAGTAACTTGCAGAGAATGGTTCAGAGAATTCAATTTATAGCAAAAACTTTACCTCTCAAAAGAAACTGAATAAAAAACAACATAGTAGTAGTGTTTTGGTAATTTCCTTCCTACACCCCTTAAGTCTAGGAGTGGAGGTATGGGAAGTCTACTTAATGGCTTTGTGTCTCAGCTTCCTAGCCTGTAAGATGACAGTGGTCTCTAGCTTTGATGTGGATCTAATTTTTCTTTTTAAATTGCCTAGGGGGTTTTGAGTTATACCTTTTCTTCCAATTATAAAGTATGAGAAAAAATACAGTCTACATCCTGGTGTGGTTTTCAAGAACAAATGAGGTGAAAAGCAGGGACTCCTAACTGCTTTCAATTCTGAAAATACAGAATGATTAAAGGTGTCTCCAAAGTCAAAAATGCTTGTAGGTCTTAAAGTTCTTTCACATGAAAAAGAAGCTCAACTGACATGAGCAAATTTCCCCATCCTCTCTACAGGTCTCTAAAGCCATATTACAGCAATAATTTCACGCCAGGCTAATATTTCTCCCTTGGATGTAGAACTACTTGACTACTACATAAAAAGTGAAAACATACAGATGTATACTTTTCTTCACATCCAAGGAATTAAAAAACAGGCTCCAATGTTCTTAATGTTCTACAGAAGGCTAATAATGTAGTCAATTAATTTAAAGTGTTATTCAGGGAAAACAAAATGTAAATGAAGATGTTAAAGGCAAGGGAAGTTATATCAGACTTTTACTGTGAGGACTTGGGATAATTTAGGGATCAGGACTTGACCTGTGGTACAATCATATTACAGCAGCATGGAACTACCAATTAGTTTAATTTTATAGCTCAATAAGCAATAAGAATTGAAGTATCAAAAGATTAAAAATCTACGTTTACAATGAAAAGGTAATTGCTTTATTACTTATTAAAAAATCCAAGAATCTTGGCAACTCATATGAAGCTTGATGGGAAATGATCTCTTCCCTGGGACTGTTTCCCATAATGCCATAAAAGCAGCCGAGTGCTCCAGTGGCAACACTCACAAATCAACGTGTGATACCAAACGGCTAACGTTAGGCTATGTATAAAAATTTTATGTTTTATATCCATATATAGTGTACACACACCAAGGTGCCTACACAAAATGAAAAAAAAATCCATTAAGCGAGTCAGCAACGAGGCCTCAGCTGTGAGAACGCATTCAAATAAGCATTCAGCAATGTAAGCGAATTACGCAAGTCAATGGGGTTATGAAGTGCAAAACTATTGAAGGGAAAAAGGCTTTTTAATAAAGATGCATTTCTAAAAAGCCCTCGAAGTATTTTCTCTTAAACAGAAACCCAGCAAAAAAGTCTCTACTCTTGATCTTTCCCCATGGTAACAGAAATAATTTATTAAATAATTTATTAAAGTGTTTCGGGTGCTCCTTAGGGATAAAGCAAAGGCCCAGTTTGCCTAAAATACTTAAAGAAAAGGCATGCTCTACATTTGGAAAAAATCTGAATTCTACAGATATGCAGGGCTCTCCTAAAGTTGTTTTTCTTCATTTAAAAAATATTTTGCACCTGACTCAATTGCCTGTCATTTTGCTCAGCTTTTAGTTTCTCAGAGGTTTGTGCCAGGGTAAGGGTAAAACCAGAGTTTTATTTTATCAGATTGCTCTACAAATGTAGTTTTTACTTCTTTGTGCCTTGTAAACAAATGTATGAGACTTGCAGAGCTAACTCAAAGAGCAGTGCAATTACATTAATGTAAGCCTTGCTACCAGCCCCATCAACAGTACAAGTGGATGTGGGGCAGAGCATTCCCCAGAGCTCTGAAGGGGCCTCTGGGCTGCAGACGAAGACCAGGGGCAGGGCTAGAGAGGATGAGGAGGAGGAAGCATCTAATTTAACCAGAGGAGCTCTACTTGATTACTTTGAAAAAAGGGTATTGCTGTGAAAAGCCTTGAATTGCCAGGAAAAAAAGGTGGTCCTTCAACATGATTATCACATTACTCAACTTTCTTGGAGTTTGAGTGGCTTAAGTGAAAGGTGTAATATTTACATTCTTTAATCTTAGTCTTGAAATTCCTTAAAATAAGGTATGTAACTCACTACCACTTCCTTTACTTGAACCACAAACATCAAACCACGGCCTCAAAAGGTCAGCTTGCGGATTCTACATTAATTGATGAGGACTAACTAAGGACTCACTTTGGTTATATTATAATGATTTTGAACTAGGTCTTACCAAAACAATAAAGATTTTTTAAAAACCACTCACACAACACCACTTTAAAATCTGTACTAATCTATGGATTTTATACTAAGCACACATAACCTAAATACAGAAATTATAGAGTCAAGGTTATTTTGCTCTAGTTTACGTAGCTTGTGCATGAACATAATTGTATTTCAAAAAAAGCAAAAACAATGAAACAAACATATATACGTACTTATTTTTAGTAGCCTGAGATTGCGGAGTGGGAGAATGAAAGGTTTCGTAATATACTTTAGACTAATTCTTGGTTAGTTGGTGAACTAGTGGGTCACAAAACAGCAAGTTTAGATCATCTTAGAAGACATAACACTGTTATAAAATGAAAGACAGTTTCTGAACACAGGTCAAAGAACTAAGAAAAACTTACTTTAATAGCATCCTTGGCATCTACCACAGCAAGGTCTCGAAGGGTCCAAGCAATCTGCCTTTTGTAGAAATCTCCTTTATCAGATTTCTTGACTTTGACGACCTTCACTTGCACAGGGCGTTCAGTTGTCACTGTTGAGTAAAACACATACTTTCATTAGAAATATTACTCACTCACTCATTCTTCATTCATCGCAAATACAGCTGTCAGGTACCTGTACATGATACTAAAACAGGAGTAGTATGTCTTTTTTTTTTTTTTTTTTTGTGAGGGAGATCAGCCCTGAGCTAACATCCGTGCTAATCCTCCTCTTTTTGCTGAGGAAGACCTGCTCTGAGCTAACATCCATTGCCAATCCTCCTCCTTTTTTTCCCCCAAAGCCCCAGTAGATAGTTGTATGTCATAGTTGCACATCCTTCTAGTTGCTGCATGTGGGACTCGGCCTCAGCGTGGCTGGAGAAGCGGTGTGTCAGTGCGCGCCCGGAATCCGAACAAGGGCCGCCAGTAGCGGAGCGCGTGCACCTAACCGCTAAGCCACGGGGCCGGCCCAGGAGTAGTATTTCATAACACATGCTATGACTGAGGAATGCACAGAATACTAAAGGGGGCATCTAAATCACACCAGAGGGTCAGAGGCAGATTCCCTGGGAAGTAAAGCTTCAGACCAGTTTTAAAGGAATAGTATGAGGTAGATAAAGAGCTCTAAAGCATGACTGACATATGTAAAAACAAAGGGGCATGAAAGAGTATAATACCATTTCAGAGAATAGCAATAAGCAGTTCAATATGGATTGTACGTGTAATAAAGTGAATGGAAATGAAATTACTAAAAAAGATGGAAGTTCAGATCATAAAGGGCTTTTATCTAAAATTACAGGGTTTTAATTAGGGAAATGACATACTCTAACTTCCAGTTTCTAAAAATTACTCTGGCAGCAGAATAGAGGGTGGATTGGAGTGAATACCAATACATTTGAAAACTTAAATGAAGTGGTTGAATCTCTAAAAAATGTAACTTACCAAAACTGACTCAAAAATAGAAAATATGGAAAGTTCTATAACCATTAAAGAAATTGTATCAGTAAATAAAAATCTCCCCCCAAAAAACTAGTTCAATACAGTTTTACTGGTATCTTTTTTTTTGAGGAAGATTAGTCCTGAACTAACATCTGTTGCCAATCCTCCTCTTTTTTGTTAAGGAAGATTGGCTCTGGGCTAACATCAGTGCCCATCTTCCTCTACTTTATATGGGACACCATCACAGCACAGCTTGATAAGCGGTGTGTTGGTCCGCACCCGGGATCCAAACCTGTGAACCCTGTGCCGCCAAAGCAGAGTGCTTGAACTTATCTGCTATGCCACTGGGCCCGGCCCCCAGTTTTACTGGTATCTTTTGCCAAGTTTTCCAGTGAATGAATAATTCCAAACATACATAACTATTCCAGTGTAGAGAAAACAAGGGAACGCTCCCCAACTTACTTTATAATTTTGGTTATAAGGGCAGTCAAAGATAGTGCGAAAAAGAAAATTACAGGACCATGTAACTAATGAATATGGATAAAAAAATCTTAAACTTAATCCTAGGGTGTACGCAAAAGATAATACTTCATTTCATCAATTCTGAGATGTACATTTTCTTTCATATTCAAAAATCTCTGAAATCAGGATAAGTCTTAACAATCAATGCAATATCATGCCATTCTTTTTAGTGGTACATAAAATAATAATACATGCTTTAATCGACGGCATATGGTACATCATGATTGAGTTAGGTTATTCCAAGAAGTTGATTTACCATTTGAAAAACCAAGTACAATAATTCACCAAACTAACAAATACTATATGATAATCTCACTGATTTGAAAGCATTTGATAAAATTCAACATCCAGTCACAATAAAAAAAAAGAAAGTAAAAAAAGTGTAAGAAGCCAGGAATAGAAGAGAACTTCATTAGCATTGTAAAGTATAGCTACAAAAAAACTACAGCAAATATCACACTAAGAGGTGAAGCCATTTTCTCTGAGATCAAGACTGTATTGATGGTCCTAATTAGCAGACTAAAGCAACAAAAATAGATAAAAAATATATAAAGACTACAAAGAAAGGAAGACAATATCACTACTTACAAAGAGTCCACAAATTATTAGAATAAGAAAGTTTAACAAGATGGATAGATATAGACATCCACATAAAAAACCAGCTGTACCACTAGATTCTAACAATAAACTATTTAAAAAATGTATTAATGTTTGTTAAAATTAAAAGCTTCCGCTCTGTAAAAGGCAATATGAAGAGAATCAGAAGACAAGCCACAGACGTGGAGAACATATTTGCCAAAGGCACATCTGATAAAATTTTGTTATCCAAAATATACAAAGAACTTAGACTCAACAATAAGAAAACAAAAAACCTGATTAAAAAATGGGCCATAAACATCAACAGACATCTCACTAAAGAAGATATATAGATAGAAAATAAGCATATGAAGGGATGCTCAACATCGTATGTCATCAAGGAAATGCAAATTAAAACAACAATGAGATACCACTACACACCTATTAGAATGGCCAAATTCTAGAACACCGACAACACCAAATGCTGGTGAGGATGGGCAGTAACAGGAACTCATACACTGCTAGTGGGAATGCAAACTGGTGCCACCACTTTGGACGATAGATTGGCAGTTTCTTACGAAACTAAACATACTCTTACCATATGATCCAGCAATTGTGCTCCTTGGTATTTACCCAAAAGAGTTGAAAACTTATGTCCATGCAAAAATCTGCACATGGGTGTTTATAGCAGCTTTATTCATAATTGTCAAATTGACAATCAAGGTGTCCTTCAGTAGGTGAATGGATAAATAAACTGTGGTACATCCAGACAATGTAATATTATTCAATGCTAAAAAGCAATGAGGTATCAAGCCATGAAAAGACACGGAAGAAACTTAAATGCACATTACTAAGTGAAAGAGGCCAATCTGAGAAGGCTACATACTGTATGATTCCAACTCTATGACATCCTGGAAAAGGCAAACTATGGAGACAGTAAAAAGATCAGTGATTGCCAAGGGTTGGGGGCAGGGAGGAAGAGATGAATAGGCAGAACACAGACGATCTTTCGGGCAGTGAAAACACTCTGTATGATATTACACATTGCATATACATATGCAATTCCACATTTAGGTATCTACCCTAGAAAATTCTTGCCTGTGTATACCAGGAGACAAACACATTCACAGAAGTGCTATATGTCATTACACATTTGTGTAAACTCACAGAATGTATAACACCAAGAGTGAGCCCTCAAGTAAACTATGGACTTTGGGTGATTATGATGTGTCAATGTAAGTTCATTCTTGGGTAACAAATGTACCATTGTCTGGAGGAGTGTTGATAAAGGGGGAGGCTACACATATGTGGGGTATATATGTGGGAAATCTCTGTACCGCCTTCTCAATTTTGTTGTAAACCTAAAACTGCTCTAAAAAAAGTCTTTAAAATATATTAATGCTAATAAAAGTTATTATTTATGATAGTATCAAAAAATCTAGGAATAAATAAATACCTAGGAATAAATACAACATATGTGCAAAATCTTTAAAACTATACAACTTATTCAAAGCCTTTAAAACTATAAAACTTATTGAAAGGCAGTAGAGAAGACCTAGAGAAATGGAGAACTGCACCATGTCCATGGACAAGATGTCTCAATATTATGAAAATGTAAGTTCTCTCCAAATTGAACTACAGATTCAAAACAATTCCAATCAAAAGCCCAAGAAAATCTGGAACTTGACAAGTTGATTCTAAAATTTAGGTGAAAGAATAAAGAACCTAAACAAGACAGGATAAAAAACAGATATAAGAGAGAACCCCAAAACACACACACTCACATTCATTACTACACAGGTAAATTAAAGACTAAAATGTGAAAGGCAAAATTATAAAACTTTTAGAAGATAATAAAGGAGAATACTTTAATTACTCCAGGGTAGGGAAGGATATCTTAAATAAGACAAAAAAGGGGAAGCCATAAAGGATCAGACTAATTAATTTGATTTCATTAAAATTATAAATTGCATTAAAAGACATCATAAAAGGTGACTACACAAGCCACAAACGAGGATGCATCTAACCAACACAGGATTAGTCTCCAGATTATATAAAGAACTTGTACAAATCAGTAAAAGGACAACCAACACAATAGAAAAATGAGCAAAAGGCTTCGATAAGCACCTTTCTTAGACAAGAAAACTAAATGGCCAATAAATTCATAAAAAGATGCTCCATTTCATTATTAATTAGAAAAATTAAATTTGAAACCACAGTGAGATACTATTTCACACCCACCAGATCAGAAACAATTACAAGTCCGTCAAAACCAAGTTTTGACTACAATGTGGAGAACTCAAAACACATATGGCTTGTGGGAATGAAAACTAGTCCAATTACTCTAGAAAATCATTTGGTAACAGAGTTGTGTTGAGCATTCACATGCCTATGACCCAGCAATTCCACATTTAGGTATCTACCCTAGAAAATTCTTGCCTGGGTACACCAGGAGACAAACACGTTCACAGAAGTGCTGTCTGAATAGCAAAACTGGAAACAAACCTAATGTTCATCACTAGTAGGATGGGTGAGTAAACTGCGGTACTCTCATAGAGTAGGATACTACATAGCAGTGAAAATGAAAGAATTATAGCTATATGAAAGAACAGAGATAAAACTCAGGAACAGGAACATAATGTTGAGTGCAAAAAGTCACAAACACATGTATTATGATTTAATTTATGTAAAGTTCAAAGAAATGCAAAACTAAACAATATATTAGTTGAGATTATAAACATATATGGTAAAATGATAAAGAAAAGCAAGGAAATAGTAAACCAAAATTCAGGATGCTGGTTATCTCTAATTGAGGGAGGGCAGGGAATGGAATCAGGGAAGGGCACACAGGAGACTTCAAAGGTAATGGAAGTATTGTTCTACTGGGTGGTGGGTATATGGTGTTCACTGTATGGGTTTGTCTTCACACCATATATATATGTGTCTACTCAATATTTAATTAAAAACAATTTAAAAAAATGAATTTGTTGGCCCAACAGTTTTTCCAATTATAGAGACAATGAGAATATTTAAAACAAGGAGGAAATATTCCCTAGGAAATGACAGAATGCCAAAAAAAACTTTTTCTTACTAAATACCCACCTGTGGCACACAAAAAACAGTTCTTTTTCTTTTTCCCTGCTTTGCAGACATTGACAATACTCAGCAGGCGTTCGTCATTTGGTGTAAAAATGTCTCTCTGTAACGCATGCTTGATTGCTGTCATCTTTACTCAGCTGAAAAAATTCAGAGTATAGATATTAAGCTCATTCTCAAAATCATTCTATCTTACATTGTTCCATTTATGATTTAAAAATGATCTTATTTATGGCTAATAAGCACAGGAAGGATGATTTAATACATTAATACACCTACATCATGAAAATAAAAAGCTGTATGTTTGGACAAGAAATTAGAGAACCAGTATGTCAAACTCCAAAGTCTTTGGAAGTGCTCACCAAATATTATAATCCCCCCAAAAAAAAGATTTAAGAAAGAAAGTAAAAATCCATGCTCAATCTTTCTTTTTTTTTGTGATCATAACAATTATTCCTTTTTATTCAGTGGTTTTTGAGTGTTTGGAAGAAAATTTATTAATATCTATCAGTAATTAAGCTTCCTTAATTAAGGAAGTCAATTAAGTTTCCTTAACTTGTTGACAACATTTTTTCTCCAATGCATTTTCTCTGTAACATCCTCTCTTGAAAAAGGCCTACTTTCTTCTACTGTCTATAAGTCACAAAATTCTGCATCTATACCCCTGTAGAGTTGTCTGATATTTTCTTTGCAATAATTTCCTAAGAAAGGAGATGCTAGGTCAAACAATACTGTTGAATTTCAAAGCTTTTGATTTGCATTTTCCAACTGTCCTTCCCAGAAATACTGTGTCAACGTGCCATCCCACCAGCATTCTTTAAGGGTATCTTATTCCCTGCACCTTCACCAATTCCACACAAAATCTTTAAGCTATTCCTTCACCTATTTGAGTTTATTTATACGCGGGTAGAATGTCCTCTTCTGTAAGTTTGTATTTTTTGAATGCTAGTTATGTTGAATTATTCAAATATGCATTTTGTAAATTTTCTGTTGGTCTTTTAGCCTCTTCAACTTATTGATTTGAAAGAGTTCTTTATAAAATAAAAAAGTAATACTTTCCATGCTCAACCTTTATATATAAATTTCCTATCTATATAAACAACTCTTACAACTCAAGACAAAATAAAAAGACAACCCAATTAAAAACTGAGCAAAGGACATGGACATTCCTCCGAAGAAGATATACAAATGGCCAATAAGCACATGAAAAGACGCTCAACATCATAAACCATTACGGAAATGCAAATCAAAATGAGACATCTACCACTTTACACCCACTAGGTTGGCTAAAATTAAAAAGACAAGCATTGGTGATTGTAAAATGGTGCAGTCACTTTGGAAACAGTTTGGCAGTTTCTCAAAAAGTTAAATATGGAAGTACCATCTGACCCAGCAATTCCACTCCTAGGTATATACTCAAGAGAACGGAAAACACATACCCACACAAAAACTTGTACATGAATGTTCACAGCAGCAGTGAAAAAACTCAAATGTTCATAAGCGATGAAGTGATACAACAAAATGAAGTATAGCTATACAGTGGAATATTATTTGGCCATAAAAAGGGAATGAAGAACTGACATACGTTACAACATTGATGGATCTTGAGAGTATTTTTCAAGTAAAGAAACTGAAAGAAGTGAAAGCAGTCAGTTACAAAGGACCACATATTTTATGATTCCATTTATATGAAATGCCCAGAGTAGACAAATCCATAGAGACAGAATGATTACTGGTTGCTAGGGGCTGGGGGCAAGGAGGAATGGGTAGTGTCTACTAAGGCATATGGTGTTTCTTTCTGGGGTGATGAAAATGTCCTTCAATTAGATAGTAGTGACGGCTGTATAACCTTGTGAATATACTAAAAACCACTGAATTATACACTTGAAAAGAATGAATTTTATGGTATATGAATTATATCCCAATAAAGCTGTTATAAAAAAATAGGTTTCCACTTATCTCCTCTTTCTCATCTAATTCAACATCTTTTTTCAAATATCAACTTAAGTTAAATATTTTTAAAAATCTCTTTTCAATTTTACTTTTGAATATATGTATATATTTGTGTGTATATATATTAATATTTTCCAATGCAAATGTGTAGTACTTCATACATATGAGCTTGCTTGGGAAATTAACTTCTACCTCTAACACTGTTTCTATGGGGAAAATGAAGAAATTATGAGTTTTAAATAAATGACTTAGAATGAATCTTTATAACACAATGACACTTCTGTAAACTACGTATCTCCTATATTTTACTCAATCTGTGAAACTTCTATCTCTGCTCCAACTCACAAAATTGCTTTTCTCACAAAAATCACATCTTCCCACTTCCATCCCTCTTTTATCTCATCTCAGCCTCTGGTCTTCTAACCATCCCCTCCTTCCTGTTTTCTTAGTCTATCTGGCCTCTCCAAGCTTAATTTCTTTTCCAACCTAGCCTACAGTCAGTATTCACTTCCCTACACCCCCACTCTCCCCTTCAATTATCTTATACTGTTTGTAGACCAGTTCACCTTGTTTATCAATCTCCATAAACTGTATTTTTTCCTCCACTTCTCTTGGGCTACCATATGCCACTTAAGAAGGCCACATATCCACGTTCATTGCATTCATTACAAATATCTAAATCCAGTCAAAGCTAGACTTTCAATGGTGCTCAGCAATTCTTTACCACTTCCTTTGATAATTTTTCTTCCTACTCTCCATCAGTCTTGTTGCAAATCCTTATTTTTCTCCTTCAGACCCCAACTTTAGTGTCAGCTTCCTCCCTCGCTGCAAATGACTTCACCATCTACCCTGCAGAGAATATAGAAGCCATGAAGTAGAATTTTCCCCAATGGCTTTCTTTTCCATCTCTCTACATTTTCACCCATCTTAACCTCCATTCTTCCTATTACCAAATGTCCATGTTACTAATCTCTTACTATGTCCTAGGGCTTACACACTTTGTTAAAAGCTCTACTCCATCCTACCCCCAAGTCACACTGGATACTGGCCAGTTTACTTTTCTATCTCTGGGCTTTTGTTCATGCAATTTCTTTTTCCTGGAATTCTTTTCTTCCTGGGAAAACTCCAACTCATCCTGCAAGATCCTGCTAAAACATCTCTCTTCTGTGAAGCAGTCACACACACACACAAAGAATTCCTTTTCTACTTCTCTAACATTTCCTCTCTGCTCTGCTAACATACCACTTACAAACCATATTTTGTAGCTAGTTGTATTCTCTCCCCCATTAAAAGTAGCTTCTGTAGGCAAGGACTATGGCTTATTCATCTTTGTATACTTAGAACTTGCCAAAGATATAACAGGCATTTAAAAAATTAGCCAAAATGACAGCACCAAATAACATGACAATTATAGCTTCCCTAAGGTTCCCCCTTCCCAACTCGCACATCTGTAAGCAAACGTCCAGGTTCAAAATCTGTCATATGTGATTCTCCTCCTCCATTGTCAACATGCAATTTGCTACCACATTGTTGATTTCCCCTCAGCTACACATAATTTATCTTTCCTTTCTGATCCCACTGTCAACACACTAACCCAGGTTCACATCAACTATATCTATTTAACACTACTGTATCTGGTTAGCTCTTTGCAAGCTTCCACAACCCAAAAGCAAATAATAACATTAAAACACAGCTCTCATGACAACATGCCCTTGCTCAACATTTTCCTAATCTTCCCAAATACAAACCTTCCACTCCAAGCCCTCTGTTCATTCGGTCTTTAAACCTTTGCTTAGGTGCTTTTCCACGCAGGGAATAGCATCTATCCTAATTACATGGCTTGGTTTATATGAAGTTGATTCAATACAGATCTTAATCCAAATTGATCTCTCCTCTCAATTGCTACAGCACGTATTGTATTTACTAAACAAGCACTAATTGGTTCATGAGATCATAAGCTCCTGGATCTCAAGAACTTTCCTGAAAGAGAAGTGAGGGAAAGAGATGCTCTAGTATAGTGTTTTGTTCTTTTTTAGCAGGTACTCAACAAATACCTCTTGAGGTAACCTGAACTGACTAGTAAAAACTGGTCAAATGAATGACTAATAGTAGCCAGCATCTACCACACAGCCCCTCTTTGATCAAAAGCAACCACTGACTGTATGGTAAGTGGTAAAACAAGAAAGGACGGGGCATACCTCATAAAGGAGTTAGGCATAATGAAACGCACTATGTGACTCTCATTCACTCAGCAAATATTGATGCCTCCTAAGCACCAGACACTATTCTAGGTTACAGGGGTGAACATGACAGACATATTCACGAAGACAGGAAGATCCATGCCTCCAATGGCATTTCCATTCCACGGATCGAGTGATTAATTCTCCAGCCTGTACAGTACCTTTTTATAAGTCAGTGAATAAATCACTAGAGGTCCTCTAAAACTATTTTCCAGGTTTAAGAACCATGTCTGACCACGTTCCAAAGGCAGTCAGCCACAATACTGTGTTGGTTCTTGTTTCTTTAAATTCATTTGGATCATTCCACTGCGTGACAAATAACTTGTCAGTGTCAGTGTCCGTGCGGGTTGGGCCCTGTATGCTATCGAGACATCAATGCGCGTGGAGCATTGTCATCCAGAAAACTGTGCACGGAACCAGGGAAATGCACTTAAGAGATTTAGACGAAAATGTTGATTTGGACAATGAAGGGGAAGGCACTGTCACGCCCTCCTCTCCTGCTCCACGCCAAAGAGCAACCGATCAGGGTCGGTTTTTTTACAAATGAAATCTGGTTCCTCTGGGCGGAACCGGAAAGGGATGTGTAAAGATTGCCCTCCCAGACCCCAGGACAGCAAGGGGCTGGGGGATGCTCCGACTGGACTCTGCGCCTTACCCAGACAGGCAGGGAAGAGAAAGGGGGCCTGACGGCGGAGCCAGCGGTATCCGACCCCGGGCGCCGAGCCAGCAGTGGGACTAAGGGGCCGCCTTAGACTCTGGCGCCCGCCAGTCCGCTCGTCTGTCCGCCAACGCCGGGACCACTGCGCAGCCCCGGCCCAAGGCTTACCGCAAGACCGGACCGAGCCCGGCTGTGCCGAGGCGCGTCCTCCCAGACGGAGACCGGATGCGGCTGGGGCAACCACCGCGACAAAGATGCTCCCCTCAATTGAGCGGTGGACAGGACGCGGCCGTTCCGCCACCACTTCCCATATCCGGGCACGTGACAAGCCTCCACGCCGGAAGTCGACCCCGTAGAGGAGGAAGGAGAGGCGGCGGTGGGCGTGGCAAGGCGGGGCAAGCTCCCGCCGGAGGGGCGTGGCAAGGAAGGCAGGGGCGGGGCCTCTGTCGCTCGGAGACTGACTAGGGACCTGGGAATTTGGTGCTGCGTATTACTTTCTCTAAAAGAGTTATTTATTCAGATATTTTCAGCAAGTCATATAAGAAGAGATCCGATGAAGTATTTTCTTTTTTGCATGTGAAAAGCTCTGTTAACTCTAGATCCTTGCTACTTATTGCATGGAGAGTTTAAAAAATGAGTTAAATCAGAATGTCTGGGGCATGGGACCCAGACATCAGTACTTTTAGTATCTTCCGAGAAGATTCTAATATGCATCTACCGTCGAGAACCACTGATGTAGTGACCCTGATATTCAAAAGTGTGGTCCGCGGACCAGCTGTTTGTGCATCATCTGGCTTTTCTTTAGAAAATGCAGCCTCTCCCGCTTACTTCAGATCTACTGAATCGGCATCTGCATCTTAACAAGATGACACCTATGCACATTTAAGTTTGAGAAGCACAGATGATGCCAGTGTTGCTGGTTGCAAGGCAAGTGATTCATTTATTCCATGTTCTTGGCACCTTTTTTATGCCAGGCACTTTGATCGAGGTGCAGAGGTGATTCAGACAGGAATCCTACCCTGCAGATGTTCACAGTATGGTAGGGCTAAACAAGATATACATACAAATATGTATAAAATAAGACAACATAAGTGACCAAGAGGTACCGGTCAGATAAGTGCTGAGAATTCAAAGGAGCGATTTCTTTGCTCCTGCTCAACGCAGTCCTTTGCAAGGGTTCTGCAGGGATCCATTCATGCATGCGTTCATTTATTTGACAGACAGCGCCACCTCTATGCCAGGCACTGTGTTAGGTGCTGAGATACACTCAGAAGGGGGCACACTCTCATTGGGGAGACAGAATTAAATAGAAGATGGATAAATTACAGTCTAGTGAGGTAAACCCAACAACAAAGGTAGAAAAAAAGAGACTAAGTACCACGGGAATGCAAAAGAGGGAGTAACTCACTTTGTCAGGGATGGATTCACTGAGAAAGGGACAAATGAGCTGTGCAAAGTATCTTTCAGTGTGTCAAGATACAATTTGGTGGAAAAATCAGCAGAAATAGTAGGGACTTGTTTGCTACTGAGATCAGTATGCTCTAGTCAATGCTACTTGGAATGCTTTTCAGTTTCATTGAATGACTTCCCTTCTAAGAGCAGGATCTGTATCTAATCCTATCTTTACAAAGACTCCTTAGGTCCTTCCCACTCAGTCTCAGAACACTTACTATGGACACTTTTTATATGACAATTGCATGTGCTATTTTGTCCTATATCTTTCTTTTTACCTGTGTATTTACTGTCCTCTTCAAAGTTGAGAAGTGAATTGCATTTCAGGAGCCTGGACTTCTTCCCTGAACTCCAGATTTGTGTATCCACTGCCTCCTCAATACTTCCACTTGGATGTCTGTTGGGCAGCTCAAACTTATGTGTCCAAAAATTAAATTCTCCTCTCTCCTCTCCCCTTGTGGATTCCCCCAAAAGTAGAGGCTGAAACAAAGAGTTATGTGCAGTAGTTTATTTAGGGCTTTGATCCCAGGGAGCAAGGGTGAGAGAAGGGGGAGGGGAAATAACACAAGGAAGAGGGAGAGGCAATATAAGGCTGTGTTATCGAGTTGGCATCATCATGTTTGAATGTTTTCTTGATCCCTTGGGACCAAACTTCATGAAAGAGTCTCAAAACAGTCCACTGAAAGCTCTGTCCTCTGTCAGCTCCTGTCCACCTTTGATCAAAGGTTAATGCCCCTGGGCATTGACTACTCCACACTTCCAAATTGCAGCATTGTGAATGCCAAGCTGACCCCCCCATCACAGATGTCCTGAGGCAGGAAGTAAGAGGAGAGGTGCTGTCATGGTGTACTTGCCCAAAACTCATCAACCTCTGTTCAGAACATGTTGCTGCAGCAGTGGTTGGAATAAGAAGATGAAAGGATTTGAAGTAGTGACAGAAAATACACAGAAAGACACGGAAGGTGTCCATTTCAGTCCACTCCTTGTACCATTCGTATCTGCTTGTGCCCTGTTAAGTCTAGTCCTTTACAGAGGCCCCTTCAAGATGATGGCCACTCACAATCTCTGCAAGGACTTAATATAAGAGAGTTAGTGGAATAAGCTTCAGTACCTACTGCTACACTGAAGCCAAGACCTTACTTGTATTCATTAACTCCCTCCTCTACTACCCATTCTAATGTCCCTTCACTGTTGGCTAGCACATCAACTGATCTAGGTTGTTTCCCTGATGAGGTAACCCAGACCTTCAGCTTTCATTTTCCTTGCTCTGGGTAGGCCATGATTGCCTGTGCAACTTATCCCTGGGTACAGAAATACCAAGATAAACCCCAGTGAATTCCTTGGATTCCAGATTTATTCCTCCCTACTGCTATTGTGTAGTAGCAATCCCAGACCATTTTGCTAATCGCAGTTGATTACTCCCACCAATATAGTAACTCTTTTCTTTGCCAGCTGGTCTACTGCCATGAAAAGCCCAAAGAGACCAAGTGATAGTGAGAGAGTTTCCAGCTCAGTGCATTCCATCCTGTGTATTCTAGGGGTAGCATCCTCCACCCAACCCTTGGGGAACTAATTATAGTAATCTAGCAAAGCCTAAATTTGAGAGGCAGGAAACACAAACTCTGTAAGTGGGTCACTGAGAGTGATGATAAAATAGGCCAATCCTGCTCCTGGGTTTCTGGAGTCACGTCTTTAGCTGTTGGGGGTGCTCTCTATTGGTTGGTTTCGAGCACTTACCACATCCTGTAGGACAACACTCCAATCTCAGGCAGGCACATTAGCTGAGCCAGTAACAAGTCATTCCACCATTTTTATAATGCTGGCTGCTTCTGAGTGATGAGGGATATGACAATATCAGTGGATTCCATGGTCATGTGTATGTTGTCACTTTTTTTTTTGACTGTAAAATGTATTGCTTGGTTGAGGTAATGTTGATCAGGAATGGTATAATTCCAGTGATTGTGGATGTTGGCAGAGTCCCTTCAGGCAAGAAAGACAAACCTAGGAATCTGTAAATATTTTTACTTCAGGTCACTTCTCTTTATATACAAAGCAAACAATGAAGAATACTGCTCCAAATTCTGCCAACTGGGAAGGTTCCCCTTCAACTTTGTTCTTTAAAGCCATCCCTGAGTGGGCTATAGTGCAGCAGCAGTCCAATTTTGCCTACCCACCAACATAATGTGCCAACCCATCTGTGAACCAGGCTCAATTTTTTTATTCTGTGTTAGGTATTCGTGGGGAACTCTAAGAGGCCGTGGGAGTGAGTTGAGGAAGAAATATCAGTGCTATAGAAGTGCCATGGGAGTCTGAGTTATCCATTCATGTAATTTATTTGTGTCTTCTGGACCTGCTCAGCCTCAATCCTATACCGTTTCCGTACTTCAGTAGGTTGCTGCTGCTGCACCCATGCACTTATGACTTGGTGGATCTGGTAATATCCAGCTCATGACAGATAGCTCTAGTTTCCCCAGTGGAGAATAGTTCTCTGCCTCAGAAGGCATGGCCTTGGAGAACTCTTGGGAATCTGTGCTGCAACTCTCATACTGGGGGCCTTCCAGAAATTTCACGCAGTGCTCTTATCCATCACAGATCCCTCCAGCACTATTAGATCTGCTAGAACAAATGGCCTAAGCATTAGGCAACTTGCGTCACAGCCCTTCTGGGCAACGTATGCAAGTAATGAGTGCTTTAGTTTCACAATAAGTTCATTACAACATCTTTACTTCTGGGTAACATATTCTAGTGGTGGTTCTTTAGTCTCACATAATAAATTCATTCTGACATTCCTGCTTCCCTGAGTCTTCTGATTCCTTTCTCAATGCTTATTCAAAGTTGTTCTAACAATCTCATTTAGCACCGGCCATCATCATACCCAAGCTTTCAGGAGGTACCAAGGCTATGTGTTAGGACTGACTCCAGGTGTCCTTGCCAAAACATTAAATCCAGATCACAGGTAAATGGCCCTATCTCTTAAGTTTTCTCTTCCAGCCTTATAACCCGATTCCTCTGTCTGATACTCTAAATATTCACTCTCACACATATTCCACTGGTGTCTATTGGTACGTAATAGCCAGTTTTGCAATTCCTTTTGAGTTAGTCTATAGTTTAGTGGTTTTCAACTGGAGGGTGATTTTGACCCCCCAGGGACATTGGGTAATGTCTGGAGACATTTTTGGTTGTCAATACTGGGAGGGTTCTACTAGTGTCTAGTGGGTATATGCCAGGGATGCTGCTAAATAACCTACAATACAGAGGACAGCCCTCCACATCAAAGAATTATCCAGCCCAAAATGTCACTAGTGCTGAGATTGAGGAATCTTGGTATAGTTCTCTTTAGAGTAGGGATTACAATCCCCCGCATGGGTTGTGCCGTGATCTGACTCTGGTTACGGCCTTGAAGCCATGAGGGTAATGGGGGTGGTTATTGAGGAAAGTAAGGTCATATCAGGAGGCACTTGCCCACATATTTTTTTTGTGCAGCATTTCCAGACAAGAAGAGGCTGCTTTCCTTTATCAAGAGGAAGGAGACTGTTGGCACAGAGAATGGCAAAAAATCTGGGGGTTTAAAATTCTAAAGCATGTCCACACAAATGTCCCCGTTCTAATCTCAAGGTTCCATCATTTTCCTACTAGGGTTGGTTGATCCTGTGGTACCTTCTGAGAAACCTTATGAACTGTGTCTCAGAATTCTCCCCTGGAGTGAAGAAGAAGAAAGAGGAAAGCATTTATCCATTGGCTCTGTCTACCATCGGTCAAGGTTGCACCACATGCTTCTAGTTGCACATGTGAGTGGAGGGCTGGTTTCTGCAGGTATCATGCTGTAGGCAGGGAGCAAGAGAGGCATGGTGCTGTTCCGTTGCTCTTGAGAGAAGCTGATTGATGCCTGCACAGAA